CCATTTAGAAATGCTTGAATGATTCAAGGTTAATAAGATTCATCATACTCACAGTGAGGATCTGGTTGTGGACATAGCTAATTGCTAAATTTTATTCATCCCTAAATGGTACTGGCAACAAATCAGCTCACAGCTTAATACTACTGGCAACTCTAAATGGGACAGAAATAATGTGACTTTGATTCAGTTATTTTTATACGTGTTATGATTCATTTCCTGTAGTTCTAATACTGATGCTCAAATACTGGATATTGGATTCTCTTGTCAAACAACAAAAAGGTAAGAAACAAAGCTGAAGATATTTTTAAATGTCATGGTAACAAGTCACAGTCAAATCTTGTTTCAGTGAACATTTCTAATTCTCACACAAAAGATATGATAAATTCCTATCAGAAAGATTTTCTTCTGGCAAATTTAGAATTCTGAAAATAGTCTTTTAATGGCAGGAACCATACCCTCCTAGCACCAACATAACAGTACTATGATGTATTATTCCCTTATGGTAACAGACACCATTGAAGCTGAACTGTAATTTGGCACACAACAATTCTGTAGTAATGTAATGTGACAATATTATTACGCTCACTATTTTCCATGTGATCATAGCCTTATTCATCTTCTCCAACCTGATATTAAATTAGCTAATATAGTTACATTCTATTCTGTACGACAGGGTGAAAGCAGAGAAAGGGTTACTGTACAGCACAATGGTTTGATGAAGGGGTGTGTGTGTGTGTGTGTGTGTGCGCACACGCGTGTGCAAGCATGAATAAGTGATATGTTGATTTTTATACAGTGAATGTAAACTCTTAGCACAGGCGTGGCACATAGCAAGCACTAAGTAAGTGGTTATACCCAAGAAAAAGTTCACAGAAAGCTACAATATATGGTATGTTAAAAAGACCTTTACTCTAAGATTTCAGAAGAGGGGAAAGCTAAGGCCCAGCTCCCAGGACTAGAGAAGTTTCCATGGGATGAAACAGTTAAGTAGAGATTGAAAATGAAATTACATTTCATCAAACAGATATAGTGAAAGGAATTCATTCCAGGTGGAATGAGAGCATTCCCCAGGAGAATAGATTAGCATAAGCAATGGTGAGGAAATTGGGGAAGTATAATGTTGTTCAGAAAGCCTTAAGTAAGTTAATTGGCACTAAGATGCCATTTGGACAAGGTTCTGCAACAGATAAGGATGAAAATGAAAGCTAGGGTCAGACCACAGAGGTTCATGAACTCCAAACTGATGAATTTGGAGAGTATTGTTAACCGCTGAGGATGTACTAGAAACCCTTATGCAAGATTCATGCATCTAGTTAGCACGGATTTAGTAAGTCACTATTATTACCAATTATATGCATCATGATGTGCAAAACACCGGGCTTATCAGACAAAAAAAAAAAAAATTTCCTGGGAGAAGCATATAGTCTTAAGTCTTACAGGTAGATAAGACCAAACCTAAATAATGACGGCTGATAAAATAGCATCAACAAAGTTCTACAGCAGTCAGTGGAGGAAAAATACTGCCTCTGGTTAGGACAACCAGGAAGAGCCGGTGATATTTAAACTAGGGAGAATAGGAAGAAACAACAAAACTGATAAGGAGGCCTAGGAAGGATTAGAGGAGAAAGGGATAAGAAATGGGAAACTTAACCAGGAAATGACTACAATAAGCGCCACCCCCAAATAATATTAGGGACCTAAAATATAGTAATGGTATGGAAGAATCTAGCTGAGTCCACTACACTACACCACCCTACACACATACACACAGCACTTGCTTTTCTCAGTGAGTAGGTCATTTACATGGCAATCTTCTAGCGGATAAAAAGGTTTCACAAGCACTTTTCTTTAAAAGTAGCCTTTGGCATCGTTTTGCATAAGTGCCTCTTTTTTGAAAGATTCCTTTAAGTGTATTAATTAGTATGATTTACCCAAGATTATACTTACAAGCTAAAAAGTATTCCCATCTTCTCATTGTTAATTATATCTCTAGGCTAACATAAATAAACTTTTCTAGTTACTCTAACCCACTCTGTGAAATTTATCAGAGAGATGATATTCCGAAGGTCTATTTCGGAGAGAATGTGTCTTATTTGCAATGTGGTGTGTTCTTTCCTCTTTTAAAATACTTTATTTCATTTTCCTTTGTTTGTTTGTTTGTTTTGTTTTCTATGCAGTTGAAGACGCTGTCACAGAATTTATGGATAAATAACCTAAGCTACAGATGGAAATTTCATTAAGAAATGAACTGTCCTAAATGGCTTCATTAAAAAAAAAAAAAAAGTCAACCTCTATCTAGAAAAGAAGTTTGTGAAAATCCCAGGAATCACATTATTTCTCTTTGTGCAACTCAGAAAAATAGGGAGATGCAGAAAAATAAAGCTTATTTTAATGAATTTAACAACTGAAGAAAATACGGCATCCTATTCTTATTGCCATATCAATGGCATGTCTTCAAGGTATTAAAAAGAAAAAAAGAAAGAAAGAAAAAGACAACAGGCCCAGAATGGAGTCATTTATGCTAAGCCCCATGTCTCCAAACCAAGACTTAATTTAATTACAGTTTTGGCTCTCCCATAAACCAGTCAATCAGGAATCTCCCGATCAGCAATAGTTAAGTAACCGGCCTCACAGACCCCTGACATTCCCTAAAGCAAAGTAACTTTTCAGTAACCAGCCTGCTTTTTTTTTCGTATAGTATAGCTTCCTTGTCCCTGCCCCCCTTCTGCCTATAATTCTTTCATTTCGTACAGCTCCTTGGAACTTCTTTATATCAGCTAGATTGGATGCTACCCGATTTGAATCAGTTTTTGCTCAAATAAACTCTTAAAATTTTTAATATGCTTCAGTTTACCTTTTAACAAAGGTAACAGTCACTGTTGCACTTTCTACAAATTAAAGTTGATATGAAAATAAGATTTGCTTTTAAATATTGATTTATACCTTCATATCCTTACCACCAAAACTCCATGCACAAACCAAGAAACCATTTCCCACTTCCAGAAAACCCATTAAGAGGTAATGATTTAATCAAAATGTATGTATTCTGAGAGCCCTCCAAAGTAATTTTAATGCTGATTTGTGCAAGAGGCGTATCAGGAGACACATTTATTGAATGACGTTTACCTTATTTACAAGAAAATAACAAATAGCCTTATCATTATCATCACCACTACTATCACCCAAGAACAGCATTCAAATAATTTTCTGTAAAAATGATGTGAAGACAGCATGATACTTAAGGTAGGATCTTGATGTTCTGTTAGGAGATGTCTAGTAAATACGCACAGAAAATTATATTCTTCAAACTCAACTGGTATATGAGAATACACAATCTGACACAACCAAATGGCAACTATTTTATAAAACATGGAAACTAGATTAAGCAAAGTTTGGCAGAGAAATTTCTTTAGCAAAATGGAAAACATTTTCATGCAATAAAAACTCTCTCAGCTACCACATGTAGTTATACATCTGTCAGGATCATATTCAGGATTAAAAATTTACCATAATAAAATCATAACAAATTATCAGTCTTCTGGTTGTCCTTGAAAATAAATTTATGTTATTTTCCATGGGGCAGGAGCAAAAGCAGGAAGTTACTATTCAGGATATATATGTACATATATTAAAAGCATATATAAGGTTTTTTATTTTCTTTGCTTTAGGTACATGGAAGTACATAAAGTATTTACTGAGCCTTCATTTAAGATTATTTATAGAACTCCAACTGGGGTTATTGTTTGTGCAAATGTATGATAGTTTGAATACATGTTCATACTTCAAGTTTGCTGTAATTCTATGGAAGACGTTGCTGGTAGGATGGAGACAAAATATTTCACCATCTGTGGTAGTGTGATTTTTACTGGTCTCTTCCAATATTTTACTTTGTAATAATTGCTCGTTATACCTGTATTCAATGTTTTGAAGAGAAATTCTGAAAATAGCTAGTGAGTTGTACCATATTCCTAAACTCAGTTCAATTAGAATATTTTAGTTTGATCTCATCTTCAACATTGCCATACGCATACGTACTGGAGTAGAGTCTCAAACAGACAAAGGTCAAAGTGAACAAACTCTAATCTTCCTTTTAATCCATACTCAAGCCCAGCCTTTGTCCCAAAGCCCAAAACTTCAATCACTGGATCCTCCATCCTAGAGCTTTTCCTTAAATGTTGTACCATTTATAATATAAATTATGCACTGTGTTTCACAAGCAGGAAGCTTTGTCAGAAAAATGTTCTTAATATAGTGGAATTTGTTGTTTTGTAGAAAATGCTTTTACCATGCTGATGCATTGCTGTAAAGCATGATCTATTTGAAAGTTAAGAAATAGGACTTTATCTTATATACCAGTTAATTCAGTCTTAAAATTCTCACTGCTACCATATAGATTAGGCACTAACAGATATTCCATGATATAATATGAATGCTGTGTTTCTGAGTCATACTTATATTGTGAGACTAAAGGGAAAAAAAATCCACAGGTGGCTAGAATATAAGAGAAAGTACTTGAAGCACAAAGTTTAAACATTGTTTTTTTAAAGCAAAAGGCAGATATGGGTTTAAAAAGATATAGAGAGGCATAATGAGACATGTCACCTTTCAAGAAAATTACAGCCCTCAACATATAATCTTCTGGAATTAAGTATTATTTAATAGAAAGCAATAAGAAATCTCTTTTGAAAACCAGGGGAGGATTGTCATATGTAGGAAATGCAAAAAGATATTTTCAACAACGTGACCATTAGCAATTCAAAAAATTACAGTCAACAGTTGCAAACCAAAGGCTCACCATCATCACAGGATTTAGCTAATGGCATCCTTGATTAATCCTTTAGTATTTCAAAAATGCCCTCTCTGTAGAAATAACTGCTTCTTCTCACTATGACATTTTAACTTACAGATAATACAAAGACTCCCAGTTTTAAACTCTGGGTATCACACAGTAACTGGAAGCAATGATGATCATCTGAGTCCATACTCAGAGAGGCACTTACGGTCATTGCAGAGTGGCCCACTGAAGGAAGTCATGCTACAGTCACAGCTGAAGCCATCCCATTGCTGTAAGCACACGCCTTGATTAGAACAGGAGTCCTCTTGGCAGGTTGTGCTGGGTCCTGCAAAAATAACCCAAAAGAAACTTGGGTTCTTTAAAAAAAAAAAACTACAAGTGTTTTGTACATGAGCTAGGTCACATATAGTAGTTGCCAACATCTCAAATTACATGTCCAAACCAGTGTTGAAAGTTCTAGTTCACACACCTGAATTAGCGACAGAGAAGCTGTAATAGGAAGGTTTTCTGAAGTTTCAAATATAGGACAGAATACATTATAATAGTAAACAACAAATAGTAAAAGCAAGCACATAGCTTCTAGTATGATCATGGTAGCAAGTAATCTCATTCCATCATCAGTAATTCTCTATCACCATTTGGATTTTAGAAAAATGCATGGATCTCCTTAACTTCTGACCAATGAACAGAGACACCATGAGAATGGAGATTAGAGCTTCATGAAATTGAGATAAAGATTGGCAAAGTAACTGAAAAGAGTTATGCAAAAATACCCTAGAAGTTTCCAGAAGTTTCCCTGCACAAACTATGGATAAAGTTATGGTTGTTGGGTGTTTTAGATAGGTATGTTGGCAAGTATCAGTTCACATGCTTTAACAATTCATGCAGTTAAACATAAAATGAAAAAGTCTGTATAAATGACATGCCCCACTTAACACACGAGTAAAAAGAATTCTAGTCTATTTCTAAAGAATAACTAGAACACTGAGAAACAAAGAACTAAAAAAAAAAAAAGATGATCAAAGCACTAGAGGCAATCACTATACAAACATATTCAAGACTGAAAGCCTTTATGCAAACTATGCTATAAAATGAGGTTTCTTGCACAATGTTCAAGAAGGGGAAAAATTAAATCCGAACCCAAACAACAGTTACTGCAAAAATGTAAAAAAAATGTTATTTTGGGGTTTCCACTGTGTATTAGGGGGTTTCAGTCTTGTTTTTTACACACAGGGCTATCTACCTTGCAAGTCAGCTTTCATCAATGCAACTTTGTCAGCAAAATAAAAAAAAAAAAAAAAAAGCAAAATATATTAAATGTTAGTAAGCAATACCAAAATGGGGCAAACACAGAAGAACGTTCAGATTCAAAAAGCATGCTGTTGTAAAGGGGGGAGAAAAAAATGCTATGTAGAGCAAACAAATTAATACTAACAGCCATAAATCTTAAGAGAAGCCAAAAATGAGAAAGCGGTAATTTACTAGAATTTTACTATATATGTGTGTGTGTGTGTATATATATATATATACATAATGATTAATTGAGCCGATGACATGTAATGGAAGAAATCAAAAGAGCTTTTGTATTTTTTCCTCTCTTGGATAGATATGAATGCATTACCAAAGTGATCACATTGCTTATTTGGAGCATGTGACACCATTTGTCATGTGCACATTCAGTGTAGACCATGGTCAATAGCAGACCAATGATCCCTTTCCATTTCTCTTTCCCTCTACATCTTTTTATCTTGCTATTGCAATTAAGGCTTGAAACTGTGATGCCAGCCATTCACTGCCAACAGCTGGACTTGAGAGTGACACCAAACTATCAAAATGTACTATATATATCATTCAGGGCAGATGAGACAAGTAAGGGATGGAAGAAGCAGACTGCAATACCATTCCACTTAAAAAAAAAAAAATCCCTCTACAAGCTTTCAGTGTGGAATGTTTATCTTTGTTCTTACCGGGCTGGGCCTATACCACTTAAGAGTTTCAGAGTTTTGTCAGCATCTTCCCCACCTTCAAAATTCCCTTCAACTCTTCTAAACTGCCCTGTGAATATTTATTACAATAGAACTTCACTAATAAGGACTATCTTAGGGAAGGTTAAAAAGGGAAAGCCCTCCATCTAAATAGCTTTAGAGTAGAACACTGAAGATATTTCTTAGTCAACACAACTTTATAGGTTTTACAGAAATATAAAAATGATACTGGCCCAATTAGATTCTATTAACACTGAGAGCCTGTGAGGTAACTGCTTTAGTGAATAAATGAGAACTACCTGTAATTAGCCTTTGTGTAAATTGACATTTTCGTAAAATGTCTTTTTAAACATGCTCGCTACAACGGTATTTCTATTACAATTTTCTCAGTAAAGGTATTCCTCATAGAAAGTTATTGAATTTAGCCTAACCTATGTGAGTTTTCACAAATTAAGAAACCATAACATTGTAAGAACTAATTATGTAATAACGGCAATAATAGGTATACTAATGGCAATGATAATAATGGTTGTTATTATTAATAATAATTTCCCAGGCCTGGAAGCCCTGAATGGAGGTCACCGTTTTTCTCACCTATCTCACCAAAGAACTAAGAACCACTAAGCTGCTTAGTTTTGGCGGTTCCTCCAATCTGTGAGAGGTAAGTGGTCTAATGATCTTTATCCCATGACATTAGAGACTGAAAATAATTATTGTTTGGGAAAACAAAACAACAAACAACTCTTAAAGCAATACTCCTTTGCACATTCTCTCCTGGGACAAGCAGAGGAGCAGGGAATGGTGCACGCCCTGTGTGGGTCGGGGGCTGGTTATCAATCCGAGGCTGCTCCCTTACTTGCCCAGAAGGTAAGAGCAGGAACAGGAACAAATGAAGAGCCAGATTATCGTTTTTACTTTTATTTTTGTAAAAATTATCAGAGACACAATTGCAACATAATACTAAATTCTAAAAATGGTAGAACTACAATCCTGAAGATGAATGTGCCCATATGCTAGAGCAGCAACTCAGAGTACCTGCCAAACCTTTATGTGAGCGTAAAGACATGCTTTATTATTATTTTTTCATTATCACAACAGTCTTTTTATATTCATGTATTACAAGAGAATGTATGCCAATGCCTGACAAGACACATTTTTCAAAATACTCACCTTCTAAGAACAACATTTAAACACTGACAGGCATTTGCACAAGACAAAGCCCTGAATTTATTTTCCCTTTAGTTATGTAATGTTCTTTTATTTTATCACTGAATAAAATTGGAACAAACCAGAAGGACATTTGTATTAAGTGGTTAAGTATATGGATATGTCTGAAAAAGAAAAGAAGTGAAGGTAAAACTAAAATCTCTGGAAACCAAAGAAGCAAGAGAGGAAAGTGTTTTGATGCCTGGACTTTCAAGTATGGTAAACTCGGGTTCAAAGCTTCCATCATCCATGTACGAGCTGTGTGACCTTAGGAAGGTCACCTTACATCTCTGAGGCTCAATTTACTCATCTAAAAAAAAGTCAGCACTACCTAATTCACAGAGTTTTGAGGATTCAATGAAAAAGCATATGTAAACTTATTGTCACCAGTGCTAAATCAATGGTAGCTTTAATAATTAAGTATTTCTGTAACTTATTATAATAGTTCTGGGGCTGAATAGTAGGAGACTATGCAAAGAGTGTCTGAATTAATTTTTCCCCTTGAATTTATGTACGAAAGTTACCTTGACTCGGTATTGAGCTTAACTAAGCCTGATTACTGGTGGATTACCAGTCTCTATTTTCTCTTACTCAAGCAGGAAAATGCTACCCTATCAGTGATTTTCAAAACATGGCCCTTGAAAAAATAGTAACAGCATCATTGTAGGAACATGTTAGAAACATAAATTTTAGGGTCCTGCTGAAGTAGCCACCCTGGGGGTAGTGTTCTGTAATTTGGGTTTTAACAATCCTCCAGGGGATTCTGATACTGGTTCAAGTTTAGAGAAACATTCATCTGAAGGGACTTGGACAAGGCAAGCTTCCTCCCCTCCCTAGTGTATTATAAGCAGCTATTAGCCAATGCAAATTAGTTAAAAATGGAAGGCAGCAAGTGGTTATTAGGAAAGACCACGAACTTTTTACATGAAAGGGTCTTGGAGATTTGTGGGTCTTGTTGGATAGGAATGAGGGAAAATCTTGAAAGATATCATTTGGTTTTTGTCACATTTATAGTATTTCTAGTAATATAAAAGGTGATTCCAATGTGATTTGGATTTAAAACTCCATGAGACAACTATCTTTAGAGAGAGAATTGATCAATCATCTAGAATTTGATCATTAATCCTAAAAACATATGTACCTCATCAATTACACCTATGACAGGTATAACTGAGATTATTCTTAGGAATTGCAGAGGATAGAAATAATCATAAATTAAAAGCTGTTAATCTTGATGTTGGAATGGAAAAATCAGGGAAGTGTCAATGCAGAAAGGCAGGGACATGGTAACATTCTAAGAATAAAAAAAAAAGGGGGTTAAAAAGAGCTAAGAATTATTAAAACTCAGATATTAAAACATCCTAGATAAGGTAAGGAAGGAACCAAGGTCATAACCTACTGAACGATTTCAAATGTTCAAAAAGGAGTTTGTTACCCAGGAGGATGTATAATCATCTTAACCAAGATGCTTAATAAATTATGTTAGAAAATAAAACCAAGTATCATTTCTGCAAATATTCTTTTCTTAGTACAGCTTCCCCTCGTTAGTTTTCCCTTCTACCCACCCACACACATCACCTATGTGCCCGTGGTGGGGGGTCATGTGTGTGCGTTTGGTTTTCCATCTTGTGGGTGTTTAGCTTTGAACGTGTCTGTCTGCTCCTAACATCTCCTTGTAGGTGAGAAGTCATTTACCAAGCAAATTGTAGAAAGGCCTATTTTTGAAAAAAAAAAAAAAAAAAATACCGTCAGGAGTTTGTAGTATTTTTTTTCCCTTTTTTTAATGTACATATTCTCACTGGTTAGATCACCTCCAAAATCCAAGTTATGAACCACATTCTTATATCCACCCAGTAGAAGGAATTATTCACTTAATGATCTTGTTTCCTTTGGTAAACGGAGAAAACAGTTTCTCTTTGTTTTACAAGTGTTATACCAAAATTGAAATAAAGAAAATAAATATAGCAATAACATTAAAAAAATTCAACAGTGGCTTCTATTAAATAGCATTATCTTCTGGCAGGATTAAAACACAGTTTGAATTTCACCTGACTTTTCAGAGGAATATATATCGCTGAGAGAAAAAAAATGTATTTTCAAATTAAAAAACCCTCCACATACTTAGGTAATTGCTAAATCTAATGGCATTATTTTGGCCAAGAAGAGATGATTCATAATCTCCTGGGGGATAGGAATTCGCATGTCTTTCTTTGCCTCTCCCATATGAAATTTCCTTATGAATCTAAAATTTTCAAAATAGCCCAAACTGTTTTCAACATTAAAGGAGAAGCAGCAACACATTCAGAGCCCCCAAATTCAGGATAATGTGATTAAATTACATTTCTGGAGGGAGAATTGGCTCAAATAATCTGAGGTGTTGAAATGAAAATTATCTAAAATGAAAGTAGCAATCAAAAAGTACTCCTACAGATCTTAGTCTGATAGAGAGCACAAAAGAACAGAAAGATACTTGAGCACATTTCTCAAGTAAGGAATATTAGTCTTGGGTAATAGAAGAAACCAATTTTTGCTAAAACAAACTGATGATATACAGAAGAAACTTGTGCCAGGTAGATAAAAACCAAATAGTGATGTGACAATGCGTATCTTTACTTTATTGTCCTGTTATATCTTGCTGAATGTAGATGTGAAACAAACAGTATCAAATTGATTGACACTTACTGGAGCAAATCTACTTTTTAAGTCCAAAGAGGGTATCTATTTAATGTTATAAAGCAGGCATTGCAGAACTGATTAATACACTAATTAGGCAGACTATTGAATACAAAGGAGCAGAAAATAACAAAATCCATACACAGAGCCCCCATCTTACATAAGGCCTTATTGTAGGTTTGCAAACAGTCCAGAAAATTTAGGATTTATGGGATGAAAAGTGAAAAACACAAATAAGGATTTCTAAGCCCTATGTTGGGGCTTGAACAGTAGGCAGAAATAAATTTTGCTGACTGGAGAGATTTGTTCTTATTTATGGGTGGAATTAGAATTACTTAGAGTTTAACAAAGATCTAGTACCTTCACATCCTCTCTCAATCTGTCCATTGCAGAAAAGAGCATCTGAGATGAGGTCTGGAAGTCGTCCATTTAAATCAACTGATGCCAAGCAGCCTTGAAAGCCCTCCTTGGCATGGACAAGTTTCGGCAAAGATTTGTATGTTTCTTTAGCCACTCCTCCTATATACAAGTCACCTGTGGGAAGATCAAAGTTTTGGTCACAAAAGTAACTTGTCATTCCTTTAAACATATAGTAGGTCAGGAAAAAAAAAAAAACAGTTTGGTTTATATTTCATTAAATTAATTTTAAAAAGTCAACTTATAATCAGATATCTTCCTAAAAGTGTAAAACACAGAAGTGATTGGGTAATATATCAGCACTCAAAGACATTTCTAGAAGCTATTTCCACAGAGAATTGAATAAGCTCAATACAGTGTAGCCAAGTGAAAGGAATATGGGCCATGGAGTTGCATATCCTTGCACTGAAATCCAAGCCTGGTTATTTACCAACTCTACGGCTTTTAACTTTTTTTTTTTTTTTTTTCAGTTTCTCTGATCATTAGAAATCTCATTTCTAAAATACGAATGATAAAATCTGTTCTATAGGTTTTCATGAGAATTAAATGAGATAAAACAAATATAGGAAGTATCCACTACAGTAAAAATAGGAAGTAGATACTCAGTCAACCTTCTGCTTAGAGAACTCTGGGTCTTTCAGTTCATCAGAAGCTCAACAAATTCTCTCTAGGTCCCATAATTATCTTTTATATTAGGCTTAAGACCATTATCCTTACTTGTACTTATTGTATTCACTAACTGACTCCCATAATAGTCTGCACATATCTGAATAGTACATCCTTTTTCAGATTTTGTTTTATGCCACTGAATTCTTTATACTGCTCTGGGATCTGTTAACAAGTTATTATTTTTTTTTCTAATTTTATTGCAGTTTCTAATGGAACACTTTGCTCTGCTTTGTCATTTCATGTCTCTAGGTGTGAGATTTCCCAACTTCATGGACCACTACTTAAAAGAAATATTGCAATCCATGTTTGATTATGTTTCATTTCCTATCAAAGATTATTTGCCATATCTGTATGGCACTGAGTAGATGTAATTCACTGACTTTAGTAAACAATCAATGCAGAAGATATAGAGGGTGACCCCCACATTCCATAATGTATGTTCCTGTTTAAAAGCTCTGCTAACATACTCTATTGAGCTATCTACTTTTCTGACCTTTCATTGTCAGTTGAATTTTCTCTCTCATTTCAACCATCCTAACTTTCATACCACCTGATGCCTTTTCCCCAATGTAACACAAAACTCCTACATTCCTAATGTTTCTCTGGGTCCCTCTGTGTTGTCTTCATGGGACTTGGGATAAAGGAGAACTGATACCCAAGTGAATGCTCATCCTGTTTGTTGAATCATGAGTAATAAAGTTCTTGGTCTCTGACCCAGAAAGCTTCTGTCTTCTGCCGGCATCCGTGAAACAGTGATAAGCTAACCTACTAGATTTTAAGTAGGCTGAAATCAAACCACAGATATAACAGTCCTGAATTGTACTGAGTAAAGTGAGTTGCTTAAAGTCATTTAGCCCTAGAAACTGAGAACTTGGGTCCCTGACCTATTAACTAAAGCTCTAGATATTACACTAGGATGCCACTGATCCTGCATAATTTGTACGGAAGGGATTGAATGTGTTTACTTCCCCTCTTAAATAAAACATCTTTGACTACTAACTATATTCTTAATATTAAAGAATAGGATGGTTTTCATCTGAGATGGGATACTATTTTTGAAATATCTTGTTTTTTTCACCCTATTTCCTTTTTCTCCATGGTCTTTTCCCCTCACTTAAATTTAAAGTCATTGTGTTTTCATTATCTCAGAGAAAGGATAAGAATCAAAAACCAAAGATACCAAATTACCTTTCTGCATTTAAGTCTTAAAAGCCAAGACTCTTAAAGAAATGAAAGAGATAGAATATACAGGCAACTACATGAGAAGAATCTTTCCTGCCCCTCATGAGGCAAGCAGGAGAGAAAACTGGAAGAAAAGAAACGTGAGCATCGTCATCGATGAATACCAAAAAGCGGACACCGTGCTCTAATTTGAGGGCTGAGCCCCGGTGGAGGTCAAAACTTAAGTTTAGAGAATGACATTGATTTGTGTGCACTTCCTCAAGAGAACCCAGAGGCAACAGTGAGATCCTTGGGAAAACATGAGTGCCTGGTAGATTTAGACATGCTAGGAACTTAGCCTCACAGAACTTCCCATTTTCCAGCTGTGGTATGGGAGCACCACAATTCCCAGAGTTTCACAGAAATAAACAGAAAAAAAATGACCTTCATGGGTCATGCACACGAGAATGATGATGCTGGCAATTTAGTGGGCACCTAAGTTGTGAATATAGAATACTCGAGACCAGCTCCTGTGTAATCTCTATCTCCCCAAAGATTGGTACAGTGAAGTCCCCCCCCAAATAATTTAGACACAATCTCAGGGAAACAAGGAAGCTAAAATTGCCTGAGATTACATTTTCACTAACTCAAAGAATCAGAACTCAAACTGGAAACCAAGATGAGTTATAGAAAAATAGAGAGTTACCTTTCTTGCATATCTGAGTTTCTGGGCAGAGATTTACACTGTTACACATCACACATCAACGCAAGGAGAGGCTCCCTCCATTCATTTGTTGAACTGAATTTGTTAGAAAATTTCAGCTCTCCTCCAGGCCTAATGGATGTTGTGTTAGAGAACAGAGGGGAGTTAAGTGAAGAATTCTCGGCACTGCTTTGGGCTTTTTGGAGGTAGAACTCATACTGAAAGTTATGTATGGGACACTACATGTTTGCTAACCATCCTTCCTCTTTCCAATTGTAACCTCCTGGAAGAGACAGACTGTGTCTCTCTTTGTTTCACATTCTCCCCCAGTGCCTCATACTGGGGGACAAGCACAATGGGCACTCAATACACATTGCCAGCCACCTGATGGACTGAGGTCACAGTAGAAAGGAATCAAGAAAGAAAGAACGCTAAGGCAACACGCGGCAAGAGCTAATTCTAAAAAGCTTACTTACTTCCTTTCCCTGCTTCCTGCCACAATCCTGTTTTTTTCCTCTTGGCAAACATATGCGCCCAAACAACTTTTCAGAGATTACTGAAAAGAAGTAGTAATCTTTCCCTTGTGTTATTAAAGAGCAGAAAATATTGATTCAAGTAGTGCAGGATACAAGCCTCAATCCTACACTAAGGTGGATGAGAATGTGATTTATAAGTAGGGAATGCATTCTCATTTTCATTACTGAGGCTGCACTTAGCACCACCACTTAATACTGTCTTTATAAACTCTTCGTATAGTAGATGGTGGTCTAAAGTCCCCTGGTGGGTTGGCCTATGAAGAGAGCAAAGGAAACCCTTAAGTGGCCTGAGCCCCATGTAGCATTAGCCCTTCATCAAAGATGCAGCTTCTCCTTTTGATCCTGGAGGTGATGCAAGTTAAAATGACCCATTAGCACTAATGGGATCTTGCAGGCAAAATCCTGTACATGGGAAGGAGGATATACTTTCTAATGACCTTATGTGTGAACAAAAGCCAGGATGGACATCTAATAAGAGACAGGTTCCTACAGACTTGAAGCCAGTCTGTTACCCCTTCTCCAAGCTGATGAAGGGCTGATTTTTATTCCTATCCTTTAAGTAGACCACGCATGAATTGATGAGGCAATGATGGAATTGGGGCATTTTTAGCAGGAGATGCTGAGAACATGCATAAACCCAGATAACCTCAAGCCTTTGGAAATTTTTTTTTTTTTTTTTTTAAGAAATCTCAGAATACCCTTATCTTTAGACTAGTGCAGCATATATACACACTCTCAAGACTGTTATCTGTAGAAGGATCTGAGGTGATAACACAGGTATCCACACTCCAGCATTGCGTAGTAATGAGGAGGGAATCGTGCACAGGCTTTTCACTTATAAGTGGCTATAAACGTCGGCCCTGCCACTTACTGGTTGTCTTAGCACAGGCACATTAAGTTATGTAACTTCTTTCAGAGTCAGATTCTTCATATGTGAAACGCCTACCTCGCAAGGCTGTGGGGATTACAGAGGAGGTATGCAAGCGCCGGGTAGAGAGCATGCACTCAGCACACGGGGTTACTGGTGTGACTGTGTTGGTATGTCTGGTGAGGACTGTACATCTATAGTGTAGCTCATTGTAGGTTGATGGTAGTGAGAGATACAGAAGAATGAGAAGTCTAGCCTGTCTCCTTGTTTCTAGTATAAATGGAACGACAAGATGTCAAATTTACATCTTATTTGACTTTAGTTTACAGTCACGTGTATACTTGACGTATGACTTGCCCTATGCTGTAAGAAGCTCAAGAGGCTCCTTTGACGTTTTCTGTTACAAACCCAGCTGCACTGAACCTGGTAACAACAAAAGGACAATGATTTGATAAATATCTTCTAATCTGATGTAAACAGATTAGGAAACACAAGAATTCTATAAAGCCCAAGGGCCAGGTCAAAAGATTCGAGCTAAATGTGCCTTATAAAATCAGAAAAATAAAAGGCTTGTGTGAACTTTGATTATAACGTGGAGCATGATGGAAGAGTTTAGAACAGAAGAAAGTATAGGATACATTACTCTGTAATAGCATAAATGTAGTGCCAGCCCTGGAGAAGACAACAGATAAAATAAATACAGCATTCAAGAAAGTATAAAAGGCCAGACTTGGCTGGAAGGCAATGATAAATAATGTTGGATCAGTTAAGTCAAAGTCTATTGAATAACACAATAGAATTTATGACTATTGGTTTAAAAAAAAAAAAAGACAATGAGAAATCCAAAAATATAAGTCATGCAGGCTAGGAGACAACAGAATTTGAAGCAGTGATAATTTGGACAGAAGCGAGGGAACAGTATTTAACACTAAACATGTGGAGTCTGAGTAGGAGTGATCCATAGGGATCAGATGATATGAACCAGGGTCTTTGGGAAGAGATGCTGAGGCTGGAAGGTGCGGCTTGAGAGCCATCAACCAAAAGCAGGTAAATGAAGTGGTGTAAGACTTTTTCTCTTTTGTTAAAACAGGGAGCATACGGCAATTAGAGCAAGGACTCCAAGCTCGGCCTTCTAGCAGCAGAATGCAAGTATCAAGGTATAATTAGTTCTTTGACTCAG